ATTGGATTTAAAGGCCATTTAATAGGAGAGAAATCAGGATGATAAAATAAACCTTGTAAACCTATCCAACTACCTCTGTGTGGAGCAGTCAGAGACCCTAGAAGATAAACTATAACCACTTTGTTAACAGATATACTATCCAACTGCCTTTTACATACTTATCTTTTTAACCATGGATATATGTAGCTCTCCTGTCTCACCAAAAAAGCATATTTCAGCACCAGGAGGAGGTTACTAAAGAAATATACAACTTTTCAAAATGCAGATAATGAATGACATTGGAAGCTCAGTGCCAATGGGTACATCTATAATACAATTTCAAAGTTTAAGTTTCAGGTTTCATGGAATAAAGGAAGAAAGCTTCTTTGATCCAGAGTATTTGCATGCCATCTCTCAGTCATTGTCTTTCAGACATGACATATAAGCTGTAACATGTTCTTTAATTGATATGGTTGTATAAACAATACCTGTATAATTACCACACCAGGTGACCACTAAACTGAATGGGGAACTTTGCAGAGGCTCTAAAATCCAAGATGAAGGGTACAGACAATCAGTCATGACTAAAAGGGAGAATCTGTTTTCTTCCAGGACTAGTCACCTCATACATCAGCCATTCCCAAGTGCTCAGCCCTAAACATTTATGCATACAACATTAAGTAGACTCAGTAGGGTATTGTGAGTATGTATGTATACATATATGAATGTAAAGTATATCAATAATCATACTTAAAGAATAAGAGGGCAAGGATTAAATAGGGACTGGAAGACAAGGTGGGAGTTGGAGGAAAGATGTAGTCAAAATGAGAAATGATATAAGTATAGTACTTATATCAGTAATTCTCAAAAGAAAATAATTTTCAATTGTCATTAGTGAAGTTTTATTTATAATAGATATATATTAATACACAGTTCAACAACTGGCCCCCACACATAAAATACGACATGTAGAATGTGCAGTCCTAAGCATAATAAAATTACTACACATCCACCTACCACAGCTTAGGGATCATTGTGAAAGAAGGATCAGAATGAGTGTTCTAGAGGTGTAAGAAGAATTCAAAGAAACAGTGTCTTTTGGTCACAGCAGCTGCACATATGAACTCACAGCTATTATGACAATATATACATGAGTTTTACCAGCCTGGCCAGACAAAATACAAATGTGGATAATGAAAATGGAGATGGGATACCACTCTTTTTAGCTGCTGGGTGAGGAGAGTATTTTGTCTCTAGTATCATGGCCCATAATAAGTAGACCACTCTTTAGTGGAGGAAAAGCAAAAAGATATAAAATTAACTGAATGGAGAAGAAAGTAGATCTGGAAAGAGTTGGTGAATATGAATATGATCAAAATGCATATTTGAAATTTGAAAAGTACTAGTATTTATTGAATCAAATGTAAACCAGAACAGTTTAAAGTACCTCTTCTCTATTCACAGTAATACTACATATAGGGTGTACCTTATCAGTCTAGGTTATACCTCATTTTAAATGACACATTTTTATGGTAATTTGAAATTGAGTTGAAGACTCAAGGTTTAAAACAATAGAGAATGTCAGATTATTAAAAACACTCAGGCAAAATGCACACACATTGTCAAAATTGTCATATGCTTCTGTAGGTATTTTGTGTTAATTAACAAACCAAAAACTTAAATTGCACATCGTATGGTAGAATAGAACAAAGAGTAAAAACTTTTCTCTACAAAATGCATCTTAGTGAGTTCTCTTATTTGTGGAGGGCAAATGTCTAATTCTGTCTAACATTTTTTTTTCTTTGGCCCAGAAAGAAATGTATTGCCTTCCACTTACAGAGACTAGATATCTAAAATTAAGGTGCCAGAGCCCCTCTTAAGGCAAAGAGGAAAGATTTTCTCCCAGGCTCTCAGATAGCTATCTTTTCGCTGGTTCTCCATACTATCTTTCTTCCATATGGGCCTTAATTCTGAATATGCTGTTTAACTTTTAACTGTGCAAAAGCATAATAACTTTTGTTATGTTGGTCGATTAAATTTAGACATTATAACACATATGTTGAAATCATGTATGAGTAGTTGTATACCTCATTTACAGAATATCAAACTTGTATGGGCCTTAAGCAACTTTAAATATACAAATGAAAAATAAGGTGTACTTTTTTTCTCAATTTTTCTGTTCTGCAGATTGTCAGTTACACAAATATAGACTGAATCATATTTTCACAATGTATTATCAGTTCTCCCCAAATGTCTTGAGAATGAATAAGAAGAACTGCAAATGTGATAGAACATGAAATTTAGTGAAACATCAAATTTAGACCTGAGTAATTTAAATGTTATGAAAATTTGAAGTTGTTGGTTTGAAATTTGTATTAAAAATTAATCATTTGTTCTTGCAGGGAACAAATTAATTCTGTAATTCTAAAGACATAGTCTAACTATATGCAATATTGTGGTATGTTATTATTAAGTAACACATGATTTCATAGATTTTCAAGGTATATAAAGATAAGTAAATGTGAGTTTTATCCAATTATATAAATTTCCATTTATGTGCCTACATTTTTAGAATTTATTTTCCCAGTAACCAATTTTAAAACATTTGAAAATGACTAAATAGAAGACAGTGGATAATTAATTTGATGTCCTGTAATTAGTCTTGATTTTTACCTTAGTAATTTCGGTGTAGTATTGGTAATTGACTACAGAACTTAATCTATGATAAGCAAATGAGCTGAAGTAATCCTCCACATAGGTCCTTTAAATTATTAACAGTAAATTAATTGGGCAGATAAAAACAAACTCCATAGAAAGTGCTTATACCTTGTACTCTGCAGCTTAGGGTTTGAAAGGGTCCTTACGGGATGGGGGGCAACAACTTGAATGGAGTTGCTTGTCGTGTTTTATATGTCCTGATTAAAATGAGAAAAATCCACTTTGAAAATTCTTCAAACTTGAATAATTATTCAAATTTGCAGGCAAATGGTGGGACCTTGAAAAGATCATCCTGAGTGAGGTATCTCAGAAGCAGATAGATACACATGGAATATTCTCACTTAGAAGTGGATACTAGACCTATAAGATAGGATAAAAATACTAAAATCTGTACACCTAAAGAAGCTAAACAAGAAGACCCTGTGTAAGATGATCAATCTTCACTTAGAAAGACAAACAGGATGGACATTGGAAGAAGGAGAAAACAAGAAACAGGACAGGAACCTACCACAGAGGGCCTCTGAAGGCCTATACCTAGCAGTGTATCAAAGCAGATGCTGAGACTCGTAAGTAGATTTTGGACAGAGTTCAGGGAATCATACAAAAGACGGGGGAGTTAGTAAGACCTGGAGAGGACTGGAGTGCCACAAAGAGAGCAACAGAACCAAAAAAATCTGGGCACAGAGGTCTTTCTGAGACTGATATTCCAACCAAGGACCATTCATGGATATAACCTAGAACCCTTGCTCAGATGTAGCCTATGGCAGCTCAGTATCCAAGTGGGTACCCTAGTAAGGGGAACAGGAACTATCTCTGACATGAACTCAGTGGCTGCTTCTTTGACTCTCCCCTCCGCCGAGGGAGGAGCAGCCTGGCCAGGCCACAGAGGAGGACAGTGCAGCCAGTCCTGATGAGACCTAATAAGCGAGAGTCAAATGGAAGGCAAGGTAGTCCTCCCCTATCAGTGGACTGGGAGAGGGGCATGGGAAGAGATGAGGGAGGAAGGGTGGTGTTGGTAGGGATTGAAGGAGGGGGTTACAGCTGGTCTACAAAGTGAATAAAATCCAATTAATGGAAAAAATAAAAATTAAAAAAAAGAGCTCAAATGGCTAGTTCCTTGAACAAATTGGAGTAATCTCCATAAAAAAAATTTGCCTAACATAAAAACAAATAATGCTATATATTTTGCTAAACCTACCTTAGTTAAATCATATTTTAGAAAAAAACTCATATTCAATTCTTTCATTCAATATACATAGTTTGACAAACTTTATTCTAAAGGATTGTGGGTGCCTTACAATCATGGCCTCTCTTACATTTTCCTCTTCCTCTCCTGTTAATCTCTGTAACATTTTCCAAAGAAATGCAATTATCTGACTTTTTTACAATTTATTCACTTTGTATCCTGGTCTTAGTCTTCTCCCTCATTTCGTACTGGTCCCACCCTCCCTCCCTCTTCACTCCTATGGACCCCCCCCCAACCCAAGTCTTCTGATAAGGGAGATTCTTTTCCCCTTCTATCGGACCTTAGCCTATCAGGTCTCATCAGGACTGTCTGGATCCTCTTTTTCTTTGGCCTAGTGAGGCTACCCTGTCAGGGGGAGTTAATCTATCTGAGCCAAGGGAGGACTTCAGAAACTGATGAATCAACCAAGGACCACGCATGGTGAGTACCTAGAACCCTTGCTCAGATATAGCCCATGAGCTGCCAAGTCTCCATGGGGATTCCTAGTAAGGGGAACAAGGCAGTCTCCGGCATGAACTCAGTTGCCTGCTCTTTCATCACCTCAGTACCTGCCTATTTTTATCTAAAATCTTATTTATTAGGGAAGTCTACCAATTAGAAAAGGAGACTTAATGTCTCTTATAAATTTATACTTAATACATCAACTCTTCTTAGAAATATTGCTTTAGGAATTTTAAGCTATGTGACAGTTCTGCCCCTTTTCTTCCTATTATCTAACTCAGAGATCATAGTAATTATGTCACTGTTTGATTTCTGATTTTGGTACCCACTGACTTTTTTTTAATTCACTATAAAATTTGTATCAATCCAGAAATTATATACACCTCCCTTATATTTTCTCTGAACAGAGCTTAAACTTGAATAATTTTATGAATCTTTGAATTTTCATAAATTGTATGTTATACACTAATGAGTTTATATACCATGATGTCTGTTAATCTGTGTTTTTTGTTTGTTTGTTTGTTTTAATAGACCAAAATATTGCTTTGGAGGGAAAGTTTCAATTTGCCTACAAAAGGAGTAGGGAGGAAATGTTAAAACAATGTCTCTTTCATACCTGTGGGTGAGGATGAGTCCAGATTTCCACAGTTGTTGCCTCTTTCATGGGGGTGTGAGATCGTACTACTTCCTTCATTGACTACATAAAGGGAAAATAGAGTATTTTAAGCTACTTGTTAAACCTTAGGGGCATAAAAATACATGCACCCAATGTATTCACACAGACATTATACACAAACAAATGAGAAAATTATCTTTTTAAAGAAACAATATTTTATGTAACAAATGCGTTATTATGGGCTACAACATGCTGGTTCTGCCAAGTCCTATAAATAAAGTGTGAAACAGAAAACGTTTTATATTCTCATGGAGATTTTATCCAAATATAATGAATTTATTTGTTGCATATGAACAAATGTGTGAAGAACAACTTAAACTATTTAAGTCAAAGTTTAAGTTAGAAAAATTTTATTTTCAGATAAAGATCAAATCATGAATACTATTAAAGGTTACTTTTGTTGTCACATAAATATACATAACTTGCTAGTATTACTAGACTAAACAGACATCATCATGTTTCAACTTAGAAAAACCCAGCAACCATGAGAGCCAGAATTCAAAATGAAACACCATACCAGCAGATTTTTCTCATGAGAAAATAAAACTAAGAAAATGAAATGAAGCAATAAGCAGATAAAATTTTGAAAAATTCATCTTTAATCTAGACCTACTCATTAATGGTCACTGAATACAATTAATTTTGTTTATAGAAACTGATAACATGTATCAAGAAAAAATAAACTTAATAATATCTTTTTAGTAAATAATATTACACAAAAAGTTATGAACATTATGGCGTTCACTATAAAAGGTATTTTAGAAAGGAGAAATGACCTAAAATATGTTTCCTTGTCTCTCAATCACTTAACAGATGTTACCAACAATAATCATCTGTTCAGTATTTGAAAAATCAATGCTAAGTTTGAAATGACTAAATATCTACTTGTATGAAATGCTTCCATGGACAAAAAGAGCCAAGAATAATTTTAAAATGTTGCAAACATTAACAATTATGATTGATGAATGGCAATATATGTATGACAAGAAGAAGTTCACGTAATCATAAATATAGTAACATATTTGATATTCAAAGTGTAATTAGTTGTTGTATTAATTGTCACTGTTGAACATATTTTAATGTCATTTGTTATTGAAACAGTAGAATCAATAATGAACATTATTCATTCTTGTGTACTGAATTACGATTTTGTAAAATTTTGTCAAAATTGCATATTAAATAGCCTGACTATATAAACATTTGAATGATAAAAAATATTTATACAGGTATTTTGAGATTGATGCTGAAATTGCAGTTTTACTGAATGAGAAGGAAAACTCTGATTATTATTTTTACCAAACAATGAATCATACTGTGAAATAAATTTTGCTATAGTCTTGATATTTCTTAATAAATCAAACTACAAGTATGTAAAATAGTGTTTATATGTAAAACTTAAACTGAAGTAAAGGCATTTTGAAGAGTAAAGTACTTCAAATTGGAAGTCTTGTCAACTTTATTTATAGATCCACTGTCAGGAGAAGATGAGGGAAGGGCCTACAGCCAGGATACAAAGTGAACAACTGGTAATTCATAATAATAATAACAGGAAGAAAAAAATCTCTACCCACACACAAATTTCATGTGAGCTTTGACAAATATTCAAGTAAAGACAGTTACCTAACCTGAAATTAGAAATAGTTAATCTTTAATGTACTGATTTGCTAAGGGGAAAATAAAGAAAATAACCTAATGCTTTTCTCATTCATCATCCAAAGGACCTAAAATTGTTGATGTTAAAGTTTATCTTTAGTTGTCTGTGGATGAAGATAATTTAGACCTGAGAAGAAAAATTTCATACAACTCCTGTACCAGGATGAAATTGTTCTCTATTAATATTGCTTGCATGCCATCAGTACAAATTTTGGTGAAAATTCATTTTCTCTTTGATCACACAAGTATGTTTATTCCTTTAAAGGAAGATATTGCTAAACCATCAACTACAGAAACTAGAAAAACATATTGTGTAACAGTAAGTAAGTAAGTAAGTAAGTAAGTAAGTAAGTAAGTAAGTAAGTAAGTAGTCTAAGCAAGAAAGGATGATAGAGTTTGGAAATAAAGGATAGGAAGGACTTTTTATTTCTATTTTATGATTTTTCATAGAAGGCAATATATTCAAATTGTGGAGAAATCAGTGTGCTCAGCATTTTAATCATCTTGAATACACTGCTGCCCTACATGTAAAAGAATGGTAAGAAGAAATGTATGTAAAAATGAACTAAATATGCACTTTAGATGTACCTGAAAATTAGGCTAGAAACTATATACAGGAAGCAAATTTGAAACATTTTAATATGACTGAAAAAAATCATTTATAGGCTAAAGATTTACAATTGCCTTAATCTTGGAAGTCATATTTAATTAAAAAAATAAAGCAGAGATCTTTGTTTTTTTGTATGCATATTTAAACAACCTGATTGAAACAGAATCTATCAATTATGAGTAGCTAAATGAATATCTGGACAACTTCCTGTTAAATACACAATGCTAAATTAAAATGTTCATTGAATTAAGTAAGGATGATACATTAAGGATTTAAGAGTTAAAAAAAAGTATGAATAGATCTTTCCCAGTTAACTTTGGTAACTGCTTTATAATATACTTTAATATTAAAATATGCAAAAGTTTGTTGAAAAAATTGTACAAACACACTAATGAAAAGGTCAAGTAAGATCTACAGACTTGCAAGTGTTCTGTTACTACTCTTTCCTCTCATACCAATACTCCCAATTATATGAATGAGGAAAGCATGTCACAGAATGGTGTTATAATATAAAACTTTACACGTTTCACTGCAATGTAAATGAGACAAATTGCAGTTATTGAAAACCACAGTACTTAAATATATTGTTTGACTGCTTTAGGAAAATTAAATATTATTGATGCCTTCTGAGACCCCCCTCCCAAAGTCCCAAACCTTGGTACTGCCTCTCTCTTATGCTCAGCCTAGGTGTAGGAAAATTTATTGGCCAATCAGTGATAATTTTGGATTCAAGGTTACACAACATCACTTGGTTTACATGAAAATGGGCTTTTAAGACAGTAAAGATCTCATGGGACAAGCAACTAACATTTGAATACATAGTAGCTGCAGATCATCTATAACAGTGCCCTTTTTGTCAGGTAAATAATTGTTAGTTTATATATTACCCCAAACATCCATGCAACATCTTCCCTTTTGTCTTCTACTTATTTTAGGCTGGGTCTATAATGATACCACAGAAAAGTACAGGACTAGCCCAAAATAACTAAAATTAGCAAGTTCATTAAATATACATAAATATAGTACATGATTTGGCTACAAATGTAGGCCTGTAATTAATTTAAGACACACTATGTATTGTTAGCAATAGATACAATCACTGATGAATAACAATGTTTCCATGTGTGTCTGCCTATCTTTGTATACCTCTTTCCCATAATATACCTCCTAGTTATAGATGATGCTACATATATTAATGGGAAGACATTCACCCAAAAGTTTCTGTTCCAACCATCATGGTAAATTCAGTCAGTGGTACACCTAAAAGTTTTCTTTACTAATTCTCTAGCCTTCTCTCAGCTTAATCAAGTTGACTATCAAGATGACATATCATAATTGGTTAGTGATACCTTTTTCAAGCAGTAGTGAATGAACCACAATTTAAATCTGAACCATGCGTATTGTGAAATAAGCAAAATTTAAAATCAATACAATTTTACATGACAAGGAGAGATTTGAAATTACTGGCACACGATGAGTAAGGACACTCATGATCAAGTACAAATGAGTGATTTAGTAGTACCTACATTACTAATCTTTCAAAATATGCAACACTGTCATAAGAGTAGATCATCAGTAAACTTTGTGGGATACAAATGTAAAGGATATACCAGATCAAATTTCACTAATAATTCTACATGGAATATACTGTTTCATTATTTTTAAACAACTAAAAATAAAGTAATGAAACCTTGTCCTCAGATTACATTACAAATGCAATGTAAAAAAAGAATGAACAAAAATTTTAAAGTCGGCCATTTGTCACATAGTCTACAGTGACAAAACATGAATTGAAAACTTGAAGTTAAAGAATAGTGTTAGAAATATGTGGAAAGTAGGTACCTTTTTCAAATAGTAGTGAATTAAGAAAATATTTTATATGTGAATTTAAGTAGAGACAGAAAGATATCAATAAACTGACCAGGGAAGAAAACCTCAGAAAATTTAGATGGCATGTGAGATTTAGCAAATTTAGTAGAATTTAGCGAAACTAAATTTCTTACATGCCATCTTGTTTGATAGGCTTAGTATGTTTCTTCAAGAGCAAAAGGGGACAGTGTGACAAGAAAAAAAAGATGAAGTAAATAGATATAAATTAGACTATAGAAAAGATACAACACCTATTAGGTAGAACTTTTATTCAGTGATTTGAGTGCTTTAGCATTGGATCACCAACAAAGACTTTCTAGGTCTATGAGAGCCAGGCTGAAAGGCAGATACACTCTGGATTACAGAATTATGTGACTGGACTATAGACACACCCTTAGAATACACCTTTAATCCCAAATAATGAAGGGAAGGTTAGTTTATAGAAGGAAGCAGTCATGCTTGAAAGTGATTTCTAATTGAGTGGCAGACAAAGTGATGAGAAAGATTTGACAGAATGAAGCAGAAATAGGATATGCCCAATTCTCACAAGAACATGACAGGAACAATAGTCTGCTTAACAGAAGCACAGGAAGAGAAAGGAAAGTTATTTATCAAGAGTTTCTTACTTGTACAATTTTAGCAAGACAGGTTGCAGAGAAAATAACCTAGACACATATGAAAATAGAATGAGCCAGAGAATGAGAAGGACCCAGAAGATTAAAACATATTGCCAAAATTAGTTTGTGGCCAAAGAGAGCAATTTAGGCAGAAGCCGGTTTGAATCACTTAGCTTGCAGAAGAGTTTAGGGCAGAACAGCTGAGTTAAATCAAACAGCAAGAGTTCAGAAAAAGATAAACAAATTTAGGCACAATTCTCCTCTTATCTGCT